CAGGTCATCAGCTTTGGAGGAGTTTGCTTTACTCCTCTTTATATTTTAAAGGTCCCCCCCGCTTAGAGCTTATTCTCACTAAAGAATTCTTTTCACAGTGCCTATCATCATCTTGTTTTCTTCTACACATTATTTTTTGTGTTTTTATGTGTTACATGTTGTGTGTTCTGTGTGTGTGTGTGTGTTCCTGTTTGTTAAACAATTTGATGTGATAATTCCATTTTAGTGGCTTTTAAATAATTCCATGAGTCTGTGCTACACAAATGAGAATAGGTAAATATTTTAGATGTGTACTTAGAGAAGCTATGGCATATAACCTTATACCTTAGTTATATATTTCCACTTTATCCAGTTTTAACCAACATTCACATATGATCCTTTTCTAGATTATGGTTGATTAAAAATACTAGACCATATAAATACAAGTATGACCATACGTTGCTTTTAAGAATAAATGATCGCCCAGTAACGTGGTCTAAGTAAAATGTTCTCTTTTTTAATTATGTAGTCCTCCTCGTCATCCTCATCACAGCCTCATTCTAGCCACTGCAGAACGAAGGCCTCATCATTGTGTCACCATGCATCCCTGCCCTGGGTCAAACGTAACCATGTAGGCCCTGCAAAGGCTACCAGTCCATCTCTCCGTCTTCGTCGCTGGCGACCCTTCTTACGCCTACCATCTATGGGTCTCCATTCTGTTGTAAGTGTAGTCAATCTTCCATCTCTTCTTCCAGTGACAAGGGTAGTCCATTTTTTCCCTTACACTTCTTCAGTCTTCAAAGTCCTTTTCTCTTGGTTCACTCAACCATTAGCTTTTTCTCCCCCAATAAGATTGCAAGCATACCTTTATGCTTTGCAGTCTAGCTTGACTTTCACCAGTGCCTCGGTGAACATTCATCTTCCCACTCCATATCCCGCCAGCATAAGGATGCCTGCCTTTTGATGAGTACTGATCGGCATTCATGATAATGTTTAAGTTCCTGTCTGTTATTAAAATAAATATGTATTCTCTTAACCTTCATCTCTCTGATTTCATTTAGTTGACCCAGGTCAACAAATGCTGTGTACCTTCTGAGTTCTTTGCCATCTCTTTATTTTTTTCATGTTTCTGAACATGACTGTAGTCTCTTGTCATGCTCCGGGGTCACTTTACTTACTCTTTCCTTAACCTAATCCTTCATGGTGTAGGGTGTTTCATCTAAGCTATTTTATTCCCTGAGGTGTCTCAGGTACTTGGTTTAATCTTGATCCAATCTTCCCTGCCTATTCAGTTTCTAAAGATCTTTTTCCAAGTAGGAGGTGAAGATTTTCTCCTTGTGAATTGCTTCCCATAAATTTTATGATTTCGCCTTCTTAGGTTGATAATATTAACAAACTATTAAAAAGTACATTTGTTCTTATAATCTTGCTAATTATCTTAAATGTTGAGATTGATGATGGAATTCTAATAATTCTCATGATTGAAATAAACTGTAGGGTTAGGCAACTCCAGCTCTTTTCTTTCTGATGTTTTAGACTGTTAATAGCAATGACTGTGGTTTGGCAGAGCCTACTTAGAAATGCTATATTTGAAAGATTTGGTGTATGCTATCCATTTATAAGAAACTTGATGCTTCTAGAAATCATCATAACTTTTGAAGCCAGAGGCAGTCTGATTCCTCATACATTTAATGATAAAAAAAATTAAAAGTTGGTGTCAAACATTCTTTCTTTCCCCTTATTTACTCTTCCAGAGCTAGACTCAAACTGTGAAGTAGAGTCTTGACATGTTTTCTTAAATATCTGTTTCCACCAAATGTCAGTATGGTCATCAAAATAGCCTTTCATTTATGCTGAATATCAATCAATAAACTGCTGTCTATTTCATTTTCCCCATTGGATCACAACACGCATTTGCCATTTTTATTCATTTATTGATTTAATATTTGTTGCTTCCCTACTGTGCCATACCCTGTTTGGCATAGTAGGAGACAAGAGGTGAATTATATGATCAGAGTAAAACCCTAATTTTGTAAATTCTAACTTGGGCACAATTGATTCTAAATATGACTGATTCCTTTGTACTTTTAAAATAGTCTAAATAAAAATGAACATACCATAAAATTGGTGTTTTCAGTTTTATATGATTTTACATAATTTTGATCTTTGCTCTCCATATTAATTCTGTTGCTTTATAGCTTCATAAGTATTTTCATAGCATAGCATGGATTCTAAAACTACCCCACCTGAGTTTGAAACCAGATTCCATCACTTACTAACTGTTGAACAGTTTTCTTGAGAATAAATGAGTGTATTACCTATCCCATAGAGTTTATGTGATGATTAATTGGTCAGTACATTTAAGGTACTTAAAACAGTGCTAGTGCCTGGTATATATGAAGTGCCATATTAGTAGAAATTAAATTTAAACTCATTTTCAACAATTTGAAATTTATATTTAGTATTTAATTAATTTCTCTCTAATTGATTTGTTACATTATTTTTAACTGTTTGAGATATTAATAAGTGTTATAAATTGGGGAACTTCATAAAAAATAATACATAAAAATAAATGTAGTCAACATGATCCAGTCTATAGCTTCTGGTTTCTGCCTTCTTGGTCATGTTTTAAAATTGAAGACTTTGCCTTTTATGTATTGTTCTTGTTTTTAGTGGAACAATTTTTAAGCAGTTAGATAATTGCAAATTTCACACTCTCAGACTAACGAAGTTGATCAAAGGGAAAGGCTCCCAACAGGTACCAAGGTTCTGTGGAAGGCTTAGAAGTTTTTAGTTTTACTTACCTTTTATAATAAAGTTTGAAGGCTTTTCATGCCCTCTTTAGAGTTTTATATTTTTAGTATGCACTTTTGGATAAAAGGTATAATGACTCACCATTATGAGTCACTAACATTACTGATTTCTTATATTTGTGATAATGTATTAATATTGCAATGTTACATAATGCTTTTATAGCACTTAACAATTTACAAAATACTTTCATGCATTTCATTTAAACTTTAAAACAGATAAGAAACCCAGTGTACACAGGGATCAGGTATATATTCGGGTCTCTGACCCTCACTTGTACTCCTTTCTCCTCTAGTATGGTTGTATTTACTGACAAAATATGAAAAATAGAAGCTATAAGATGTATTATTCTTAAGAAGAGAGGGTGTTAAAATCGTTTATAATTTTTTAAAATGCAGTAGCTCAAAAAAATTAAAATATTTGATATCCTGTTGGAGAATTGTCTTAAAATGAGTAAAAAAACTCTTCTAGTTGGGTAAAAAATCATTTCTAGTATTTTTTTGTTATAGAACTGAATTTATAGTTTGTAGAATTGCCTGGGTTTAGCCTTGAAAAATTGGATTCTCTTCTGGTCATTAGTAAAACGAGGATATTGGATTTGAGTGATCACTAGTATTTTTTGATTCTCTGACCAGGAAAGTAGGGAATTCATTATCACTATCTTTAAATATTTGAAGAAGTATCCTGTTCAAGAGGGATTAGGCTTTTTCTAAGATAATGGAAAATACCGGGAGACATATATTAGTCTTGGTCTGAAGGATAACTGCAGCAAAACTGTCCAAAGACAGAATGGACTGCCTCCGAACCTAGTGCCAGTCCCCCGTTCTCCTAGGGGCCACTGCAGATGGAGCTGCGCCGGGAAGAAGTCTACTACTGGAGCAGCAGAAGTAGATCATTTTGTTTCCTACCAACAGTGGAATTCTTTCATTCTAAATTGAAGTTAGGAAGAGCTAGTTTGTCACATTGTTATGTTGAGATTCTCCCATTCATAATTGGAGGGAAATAATCTCTGAAGAATAATGTGAGATTAGATGAGTCACTCTATCTGTACATGTTTTAGAAACATTCAGTAAATCCGAAATAGTAATGTTTATTCTGTCGCTTTCAATTTTTTCCATCTGAAAACTTCTTAAAACTACTTTAAAAAAAAAACTACTTAAAATTATAAAATTATCTGAAGGTGAAAAAAGTATAAACTTTACATTTCAGACACTATTGTGTTATCGGATGTTAATATGAAATGTGATTTGACTTATGCCTCTAAAATGTTTGCCTTTAAAATTTGCACTTGCGTTTAATAGTGATTGTATTTTATTTCACAAACCATTTAAGATTTGAGATACAGCTAATATACATCAGTGTTAACTGTGTAGCTTACTGTGTTTCATAGGCAGTGCCATTTAATCATGTATTGATTTGGGGTAACTTATTTACATTTCTAAGAAATGTAGCAGATATTGCTTAATGCAAATTGAATTTGGTAAACTAAAAAAAAACAACAATAAAAACTAGGTGTAATTTAATTTTAATTTCAAGTAGTTCACTAAGAAAGCAGGTAAAAAAATCATAGGTTACAGTTAATTGCACGTTAATTTGCTTTTATCTTTTCCCCCCCTTTACTCTTTTGGGCTGGTTTCCTGCATTTACTCATTTTTAAACTTTTTGAATCTATGATGAATAATGAGACTTATTTTATTCTAAGACATATTACATTGTTCAAAAAAGATTATCAAGTTCAAATCATTAAGGAAATAATTCACTTTCTTGGTGTCTTAAAATTTAGCTTGAAAAGAGTTTCTTTAACTATTTATGTTATAAATTTTTTTAACCTTTCTTATTTCAGATATCAAAAATTAGACAAATGAGTTCATGCATTCATTTCATTCAGCAAGTATGCATTATGCATCTACTAGGTACCAGGTGTTATGCTAGGCACCAGGGCTTCCAAGGTTCAACAATATTAAAGGTTTTTAGATCAGTTGAGATTAAGAAAGATAGGCTTTTAGTTGATGTTTTCCTGGTTAATGGGTGAGGACATTGTCATAAATGTGGTCATGTTCATTGTTTGCCTACCATATCAAAGATTAATAAACCTTGAATTATATTGGATAAATGTTCTCTCATGTCATTTCATATTTGTATGTGTTTACATGTACTTGATTGATTTGACTACTAACATGCATAATATGTATTTTTCCCTCCTATTTCAGGCACCAAGTATAGATGAAAAAGTAGATCTTCATTTTATTGCATTAGTTCATGTAGATGGGCATCTCTATGAATTAGGTAAGAACTATTTAAATTTACTCTGGGGAGGGAAATGATAAGTGGGAAAGCCTCTATATTAACAGGACTGTTGGCATTTATTGTGTTTAATATTAATTGCCCTTTAACATTGAGTGGGCATAATGAAAAGTTTTCCATTTAAGATTTTTTACTAGAAAAAAAATATTTTTTTTCATTGTTTAAGCAAGTTATAATTCAAAGAAGTGTGCATACCACCTTTGTATTTCAAGCAAAGCAGAGAAGTAAAAATCATAGGAAACTCCTCTAAATCACTTCAGCGTTCTTTTTTTTTTTTTAAGATTTTATTTATTTGACAGAGAGAGACACAGTGAGAGAGGGAACCCAAGCAGGGGGAGTGGGAGAGGGAGAAGCAGGCTTCCCGCCGAGCAGGGAGCCCGATGCGGGGCTCGATCCCAGGATTCTGGGATCATGACCCGAGCCAAAGGCAGACGCCTAACGACTGAGCCACCCAAGCGCCCCTGATTCCTAATAAATTCTAAAGGAATATTGAGCAAGAAAACTATTGAGTTAGTGAATAGAAAACAGTGATTATATATAATGTATGGTGATTAACATAACATAATAAAAAAATATTTGTGATAGAAAATGCTAGCAGTTATTAAAACACACACACAATACTTGCTAATACAGAGAACGTATATTATGTACAGTTATTTGTGATTTGGCAATATAGAATTACCTATGTAATGAAATAATAATCTTCAGGGGCCTGATCATATATTTCTCTTGTCCTGCAGTGTTCCCAGATTCTTGAAACATGCTCTCTACCCATCTGAGAGCTTTGGCCTTTAAAGTACATTCACCTCTGTCCATTACCTCTAAACTCAGTCATGATGAGAGGCAAAATAAATTTTGAAGGAACACACACACACACAAAAAGAAAACAGTGATTAAGAGAACAGCATAGGTTTTTAAGAAAAGAAAATCATTTCGAAGTGACCTTATTTGTTTAAAAATAAGGCTGTATGATTGTAGACATGTGCAAGTTAATTACTACAGGACAATTATTCCACAAGAATAGTGGTTATCTTTAATATATTTATTCCATACTAAATTGTAAGGTTAATGGATAAAAGGAACTGAGTTATTCATCTTTTGGTTGTCACCTCTTCCTTTTCCTTAGGGCTTCATGTCATTAATGGCATATGTAGGAGGGGAGAAGTACATATTTTTAAATAGATAAAATTACCCTTCATGGATAAATTAGAACAATGGGTTTGAAAGTGAATTTAGAACTGATTGAATCATCAGATTAGAAAACTGATAACTAACAATTTATTGTCTACCTGGAGTAACAGGAATACTCTGAAACATTAAGAAACTTTTATTTTGAAATAATTTAAAATTTTTATAAAAATTATAGAAATTGTATACAGAGTTCCCATAAACCCTTTACTCAGATTCCCCAGATTCAGTTAATATGTTTGAGCCATTTGAAAATAAGTTGCAGACACAATGCCCCATTATTCTTTAATATTTCTGTATGTATTTCTTCAAAACAGGTGGATACTGTCTTACATAACTGTAGTATGACTGTCAAAATCAGGGAATTAACATCGATCCATATTACGATTGAATTCACAGACCCTATTCAAATTATTCTGATTTTTACAATGTGTTCTATAGGTTCAGAATCCAATCCAGGGTTGTGTGTTGTATTTAGTTGTCACGTTTGTCTCCTTTAATCTGGAATGGTTCCTCAATCTTTTCTTTTCTCTCGTGTCTCTGACATTTATTTTTAAGCGTACAGGGCAGTTACTTTGAGATTATTTTTCAATTTGGGTTGCCTGATATTTCCTCATGATTTATCCATTTTTGGCACATACACCACAGAAGTGGTGCTATATTCTCAGCACATCATTTCAGGAGGCTCGTGATGTTGATTTGTCCCATCACTGGTGATGATGACCTTTATCATTTGGTCTAGGTGGTATCCGCATTTCTCCATTACAAAGTTAACAAGTTTGTTAAACTTGTTAATATGTTAATATGTTATAGTTATTAATTAGTAAGTAATTAATAAATATTTTATCAGGAGATACTTTGAGCTTATGTAAATGTAGTTTCTCATTAAGCCATTATCAGATTTAGCATCCATGAATGATTTTTAATTGATTATCACTATGATGGTTGCCAAATGGTGCTTTAAAAAAAAAATTCCTCCACCACTGGAAGCTTTCCTTTTTCCCGTATTCATTCATTAATGTCAGAATGGACTCATGGATTAATATTTCACTCAAAAGGTTACATACAGTTCATTATCATAATTTGTTTTGATGCTTAAATTTTCCCCAAATTGGCCTTGAAGGGAACCCCCTCAAGCTGGCCCTTTTGTCCTTTTGATATGTTTCTGTCATTCTTCAAGCACTTTGTCAGGTAGAATAAGACTAGACTCATCTTTGATTTTCTGTGCCCTGGCCCTGTTATTCAGTTGCTTCTCCATAGAGCCCTGGTTCCTTTTAGTGGAAAATGATAATTTAGAACCAATATCTGGGTGGTAGGTATGTTCACTGCTACTAAGATATCATTGCTTCTAGGACCTCTCAGAGGACAAAGGTAGGAAATGTTTGTATGTATTAGAAAAATACACTCACATACATATATGTGAATATGAGTAGAGACGTACCCACAATTATATCTTTATATATTAAAAAGCATTCTAGAGGGGAGGGGGGCGGGGGGATGGGTTAGCCTGGTGATAGGTATTAAGGAGGGCACGTTCTGCGTGGAGCACTGGGTGTTACACACAAACAATGAATCATGGAACACTGCATCAAAAGCAAATGATGTAATGTATGGTGATTAACATAACAATAAAAAATTTTTTAAAAAGCATTTCCATTAACACTTCTAAATCTAATAATATATAGTTTATTCTAGTGTTCTCCATTACCCTTCATATATTTCTTGACTTACCCATTCTTCTTGTATGTAAACAAGCTCTTAGCCACCCCAGCCTAAGCTCAGACCCAGACACAATTCTCCCTGAACCTCCCCCCGCGCTTGCTCCCAGCAGATCCCGGCCTGGCCAGGCCCATACAGAGCAACAGTTCTGCAAAGTGGGGGCCCACCTTCTTTCTGATATTGTGCACATCCCTGAACCACGCTCTCTCTCTCCTCAGTCTCCTCATTAAGACTGTTGTGCTCTGCGTGGGTTTCCAATTCGTGAACTGGCAGAAAGCTATTGCTGTTGAGCTCACATAAAAGCTACCTATTTCCTGATGTCTAAGAACAGCTGTTCCAACTGTTTCCTCCAACTTTTTCATTGTTCCCCGTGGAAGGCCTCATCCGGTACCAGTTATTCCAGCCTGGCTGGAGGTGGAAGTCGCCTCGGTATTATTTCTCCACTTCCCACGAGGAAGATCAGGGTTCAGCTTTCCTGGGTCACTCTTGTTCTTCACCCAGCCTCCCAATCACGAAATAGATTATTTCCTTTCTCCTATTCTCCCAGTTCTGTTGTAGTTGTATGATTATGACCACAGAAACATTTATTCTCAGCTGAGCCATAATTAATGTACTTTTTAAAAAACTTGGGGTTCCTGGGTGGCTCAGTTGATTGAACGTCTGGCTCAGGTCCTGATCTCAGGGCCCCGGGATCGAGCCCCGCCTCGGGCTCCCTCCTCAGCGGAGAGCCTGCTTCTCCCTCTGCCTTTCCCTCTGTGATCTCTCTCGCTCTCTCACTCTCTGAAATAAGTAAATTTTTATTTCTCTGGCTTTAATAATTGTCTCATTTTGCCTTTTGGTTTGTTTGGTTAATCTTCCCTCATATTTTTCTTTCACAGTGGTATCTATCAGTCCAGCTCTATCACTGTGTATGTATATGGATTCAGACATTTTTGTTACATTTGGAAGCCATGGAATTATAGAAGGGATTGTGTTTTATGGATTGAACTTGAAGTGCCACATTTTTTTTTAAAGAATTTATTAGAGAGAGAGCAAGAGAGAGAACACGAGCAGGTTGGGGAGAGGGAGAAGCAGACTCTGATCAGGGGGACCCCAGTGCAGGGCTCGATCCCAAGACCTGGGATCAGGACCCGAGCCAAAGGCAGACACTTAACCGACTGAGCCACCCAGGCGCCCCATGAAGTGCCACTTAAAAGACATAAGAGATTTAGATTTGGATATAGAGTATTAGTTAACTTGGGTTAGGATGAGTTTATATAATACTGGACTTTTTCCTTTTTTCATAGCATTCATAAAGTATTAGTTTATTCAAGATGTTTATAATTGTGTTTAATTAACATTGGTGGTCAGTGAAATAACCCTAGGTTATTTAGATTGTTGGTCTATACTACTTACTGCCTTGGTGCTACACAATTAGTAGAAGTAATATATAAATCTTGTGGTGGCTCCCTTTCATTGGTATAAGCATGTCAGTCTTAGGAACCCTCTGATTTGAAATAAATGTTTCATATTCCTGAGGGTAGAAACTAGGGTTGTAGCTTTTTAAAAACTGACTTAGGAATTTTTCATTTTTTAAGGAAATTAAAGCCAATGTTTATTTCTTATAAATTCTGTTTATGAAGATAATTTAGGCTTTCAAACATGTAAGCAAGGTTCTAATAACATTTAATATAAAAAATACTGATAGGTAGCACATTTAAAATATTTGTTTTAGGATATATTATTTTCAGTATCTTTTAACTTTCGCCTCACTGTGGGAAGAGGAAAATGGAAGTTGGAAGTACATTATCCTGTATAAGCAGCTAAATGTTACAGCTCTTTGTTCATTTTCCACAGATGGACGGAAACCGTTTCCAATTAACCATGGGGAAACTAGTGATGAAACTTTATTAGAGGTAACAACAAAACTTGTTGGCCTACTTTAAGTGTTATTAATGTTCTTGTTATCTTTAAAATATCTCTAAAGATCTCTTGAATAACATTTTCTCTGAATTTGGATCCTTATACTCTTGAGAAAATCCAAAAAGAAAATTCTGAGTTAGTGTTAAAAATCTATAGCAAATGAAGAGATTTTCAGAGCTCTTTGTGTGAACAAGTATCAAATTTGAAAAAGATAAGAATAGTATTGAAAGAGTTGCACATCATATTCCATATTTCACTGAATCCAAGATACCATCGTTTGTATCTTGATCCTGATCTTAGAGATTTTTAGATTTGTGAACAAATTTTGTGGCTAAGAAATAGTAATTTTCAAGTGAAAAGTTTCTTTAAAGTACTTTAAGAAAGAACACTTACTATATCTTACAGTTTTGTACTAAGCAAATTAGGCTACCAACCATTCACTTTTCTGGTGTGTGCTTTAAATTCTTTTGCATTTGGAAAAAGAAGTCTGATGTAAGATTAGTATGAATTAGGAAAATACGAAACACTTATTTATCATTTGAAAGGAAAACACATGTTTATAAAGTGAAAAATTACACATTTTTTCCCCATAGGATGCCATAGAAGTTTGCAAGAAGTTTATGGAACGTGACCCTGATGAATTGAGATTCAATGCCATTGCTCTATCTGCAGCATAGCTTGGCAGTGATGGAAACACCAAATACTGTATTATTTGCCACAAAAATTAAATTTCTGCTGCCATACACGAACTCAAAAATTTTGATATTTTCATTAACTTGACTGATTAAACTTTATGTGAATTAAACTTTGACTTAATCTGAGTTTTATTTCTGCTGCACATTAAAGCTGTCATTCTTTTCTCCCCTTTCTTTCTTGTGAACGACTTACCTTGTCTGAGGACTAGCGATAACTTTCTTACTCTCTTTTAAATTTCATGGGAGATTTTGTCTTGGGCACAGGTACAGTTTCCATCTGCATAGTATAAATATATGACATATCATATTTTGACCTATATCCTTAACAAGCAGTTGTGGAGCATCGACTTGTCATGAGCTGGACGTGGATCTAGGGGCAGGAGTTACAGCAGTGAACACTGTCCACAGGTTCCACAGTCGTGGAGCCTCTGTTCTTGTGGGAAGATATGAAGAACACATCAGTAAGATACACACCAATGCTAGATGCTAGGCAAAGTCCAATTTGGGTGAGAGAGTGACTGAGTGGATACTTTAGATTCTGTAGTCAGGGAAGGCTCCTATGAGGAAGTAGCTGTGAAGTTGAGATCTGAATAGCAAAAAAAACAGCCAGTCAGAGAAAGGTGGTAGAGAAGAGTAAAGGGAATAATGAATGCAGAGTCCCTCAAGTAGGAAAATCTCACTGGGTTATTGGGCCAGAAGAAGGCTTCTAGGACCAGAGCATAGAAAGTGAAGGGGCAGGTGTCAAGAGATGAGGTCAGAGGAGGAGGGGCTGAGTGATAAGGAACAGAAAAAGGCATTTGGATTTATTGCAAGTGTGATGGTAAGCCATGGAAGGTTTTAAGCAGGAGAATGACCTGATTTGATTTACAATCGTAGAAGATCATCTTGACTCCTCTGTGGATAATATATTGGGGAGCGGGTAAGAATGGAGGCAGAGAAATTTGTGAGGAGGTCAATGAGAGACGGTGATGGCTCATTCTTAAAAGAAGTGGTAATTTAGAGCTGTGTGTGTGAATTTGATGTGTGTTTTGAAGAAGGGAGGGCTTCAGCTGTGTCTTAAAGGATAGGTGGAAGGCAGAGGAAAGGTGGAAGAGTATAGAGCTGGGTCAAAACACAGGGTCAGTGTGATGGCGATGCCCTGTATTTTGGGGGGGAGAGTATTGGTTACACAGGTGTATGCAACTATCAAAACTCATTGACTTGTTCATTGAATTTTGTACTTCACTGTATATATATTTTACCTCAAAAAAAGAAAAAATACAGAGTTGGGTTGGAATGAGTATAGCAGTTAGGAGAAAGACCAAATTGGTCTGGAATGCAGTTCTGGAACAATCATTAAGTGTAAATGTGTATACCTGATTCACTGAGCTAACCTAGATTCCTGAGGCAGTGACCTGAGATAAGTGGTATTTTAGGAAGAGTAATGGGGCAGTGACTTACAGAATGGATTAGATCTATGTTACTCAAAATGTTACATCAGCATTACCTAAGAACTTGGTAAAAAATAATTATTTCAGACCCCACCCTAGACCTTCCAAATCAGAACTTGGGTTTTCAACAAGATCCCTGGGTAATGAATATGCATATTAAGTTTGGGAAGCACTGGATTAGAAAAAAATAGACTATAATGAGGAGGATCACTTTCGAAGCCTTTAAACTCCCTATGGTGAAGAGTGCCTGAATGAAGTGATGGCAATAGGGATGAAGAAATCATCTGAAACAACCGATAGTATATGAGGATGGTGCTTCTGTCCTGCCAGTAACAACCAAGTGTTCTACTCTTGTTCCATCATTTATTTGCATTTTGTACTCCCGTCTATTTTGTATATTATCTTAAAATTTTAAGTGTTCCTAAACAGCTCTCTGCCTGTTGCCTGGCTGAATTTCTCCTAGCATTTATTACCAAAAATTTACATTATTTCTCTTATGTCTAGGATTTTAGTCCTACTACTCTATTAATATAATACTTTGTTTAGTCACTTTCTTGAAATTTAGTACTTGTAGAAGAAATTGATGGTTAATTTTGTATGGAAACTTGAAGAGAGACACTAAGGGTGGTCAAGTCATGGGTAATTTCTGGAACTTATTAATGACTAATATATTTGGGGGAATAGAACTAAATAGAACTGAAACTTCAAATGTTTTTACTTGGACTTTTGGGAATTGACTAAACATCACCTTTCAGTGGGTGTAATGGTTTGTTTTGAAGTATTGAAATAGAGTTTATGATATCCATATTTAATCTCTAATATTTTCCATGTTCATTTTTTTTAAAGATTTTATTTATTTATTTGAGATAGAGAGCACATAAGAGGGGGGGAAGGGCAGTGAGCGAAGCAGACTCCCTGCTGGGCAGGGAGCCCAATGCGGGACTCGATCTTGGGACTCCAGGATCATCACCTTAGCCGAAGGCAGTCGCTTAACCAACTGAGCCACCCAGATGCCCTTCCATGTTCATCTGTGACTAAAACAGAAGTCATCTGTATTCTGGGGTGAATCAAATTTTAATATGTCTTAAATGAAAACCATCTTTAATACTGTATAAAAATTATTCAAACCTGATTTAAATTTAGTTTCATTCCATCTTAGATTGGTGTACAGTGCTTATTAGATAAGCTTTGTAATTGGGTTGTGTATAACACATAACCTGCTTATTTCATTTTGAAAATAATATAGTTTAAGAGAGATTTTCAGCTATTATCTGTCTACCATAGTATCTTTCAAAGTAGCACCTATAGGCTTATGATTCTTATATTGGTGCTTGTGAGAAAATTACAAAAAGTAATATTTTCATCACTTTTAAAACATTTTTCTGTCTGTAGAAATTTCCTTTAGAGAAAGCTTACATATATGTATATATGTGTATATATGCACATATATATTTGTATGTATGTATATATTTTTGTGTATATATCATTATCGGGGAACTAACATATAGATATGTATATGCATGTATATATATGTGCACACATGTTCACACATTTGTACCTTGAATAGGCAAATAACTTTGATCTAAATTCTCTGGATTATTTAAATCCTTTACTTTAATATGAAATTAAAGTGAAACCACTTTGAAAAGTATGTAATCATTGCAGAAGGTCTTTAGCTAATTTAGAAGGATTTGTACACACATGTATAAAGTTTAATAATGTCTTTATTAAGATTCTCTGGTAAGATCTTAAAATGAGGTTCCTTGTACTCTCAACAAAATTACTACGAAAAACCAATACTGAGTTTTCAGATAACCGAAAGTAAGTTTTGTCACTTCTTTTGCTTCTTTTGATTTCCGAGTATGACCTGCATAATCTGTTGTGATGTGGATGATTCAGTGTAATGAAGAACATTGATTGTCTTGGTGCCAATGGTGTCAGTTGATCAGACCAATCCCCATGCCTTAGTTTCCTGCATATTTTTACTTGTTTTGCCTTTGAATAAAAGTTATTCTAACTCTTTCTCTGGACTTCTTTAAGATAGTGGTTCTGAACCTGTCTGTTGCTTCCACCTACATTATAGGTGAGAGTCCCCAGTATGACATTATCCGTGGTCCACACCTAGATAATACATGGGAAGTTATGTAGACAATAAAGGCTATGTATTATGAGCATTACCTTATTGTCTAATTGTTGGGCTGGTTGGGAATCCTTGGTTTAGAGGCATTAAATATACATAACCTATACTAAGAGCTATTTTGCAAAATCAATTATTTAAAAGGCTTAGGGGGCCTGGGTGGCTCAGTGGGTTGAGTGTCCGACTCTTGATTTCAGCTCAGGTCATGATCTCAGGGTCGTGTGATCGAGCTCCGCATTGGACTCGACACTCAGCAGTCTGCTCCAGGTTCTCTCTCTCCCTTTCCCTCTGCCCCTCCCCCTGCTCTCTCTATCTCTAAAATCAATAAAATCTTTAAAAGGCTTAGAAATATATAATAAAGACTTTCTAATCTATAAGACAGCTATGAGTATAAATTGAATTATTTAGAATAAAAATCCATGTGGTCAAGAATAAATCCCAAATAATGTGAATGACACATTTTAGTTGATGCAAAATGTGCCCTTTAAAAACATGTAAACATAGTTGGTATCTAAATAACAGTTATGTTCAGTAGTGTATTCTTCTAGAGCTGAAGGATAAAGTCTCTGTCCTGCACATGTTCTGTAAGAACAAGATGAAAAATTGCTTGAGGCTTTATTTGTATCCTAAACATGAGAGACTTGCAACACACGCAAAGGTTGTAAATTAGACCATTTAAAAATGTCCTAAAACCTGTTTGCTGAAAAGTTGTGCTGCATACTGAGAGTTTAATTACCTGTAGTAGAAGATGACAACAGGTTACATTTGCATTTTCTTTTAGGGATAAGCAGTAGAAAGTTATTTTTCTTTATTCCGCCTCCAATGTGAAGTATTTGGAACCAGAAGTTCCTCCTGTCCTCCATCACTACTAAAGAACTACACACATTTGATAATAGTGTACACAGTTAATGGGAATGTTACATTGTTCATATTTTTATGGTGGAGACCAAAGCATATTTCATGGTTTGGGGATAATTTAAAAGATGCATTCTTCTGGGAAATTGATTTCTTTTATAAACAAAATGCAAATGCCTTAAATATTTCTTCATTTTAATGTGATAAATAGAATTGCTTTTAAAGCCATAGTCTGGTATGGCTTGATAATCAGGTACACATGAAGTATTCAAGATAAGAGCATAATGGTATTGATTTTAAGAACTTTAGAAAATATTGCTTGTGGGCAAAAGAAAGAAGGAATGTTTAAAGCCAACTGTTCACTTTACTGTTTTAATTTTTACCTTGTTTTCCGTTTTCAGGAGACAAGAGTGTATATCATCTCAGATACCAAAAATATTCCTGTGAAAGCTTTTAGTTTTTCAGGGATAGTAGTCAACTATTGTTTTCTTACTGTACATGAAATGCCTAGAGAAAGTGACGTCTTTAGCCAAATTAATAAAACATAGGATAGAAAATGCTTAGGCCAATTTATTCATGTCCCTCTGATATTAATTGTATAGTTGATAGCTATGTAGATTTTAGCAATTTGTTGAGCAACTAACCTGGTTTCAAAATGGGATCTAGTTGCTCTCAAACTTTTCAGTCTCAGAAGCCCTTCACATTCTTAAAAATTATTGAGGGGCCCAGGGAAAAAGAACTTTTATAGGGATGTTATCTGTTGACCTACAAAT